TAAGGGGATGGAGTTTTGAGCTCGAAAACAGTGTCTGTCGTAGATTCATCCATATTTGGTTATAATTCAGGATACTGGGGCTGCATCGGTTTTTTTTGAATTTTTTCAATTCAATTTTGGAAATTTCAAGAAACTTTTTTTTTCAAACAATTCAACTGCTCGGAGATCGAAAACCACCTTTTAGGTCGAAGTCGAGATGCACCTTGCACTTGCGTTTCCAGAATTTCAAAAACTTCGAATAATAATCTTCGTCGCACACTGAGCCTGAGTAAGTCACCGTTCGCTCGGGACTGATGTTATGGGTCAGCGTGTACCAGATCCTGAAACTTTATACTTTTTTCAACGTTGCACTGTAAAAATTCGCTTATCCGCCACCAAGCCAACAAAAGAGCTAAACTGAACTATGGCCACTTAACCTTGTCCTTCCCTCTCCTTTCATGTAAACGTTTCTGAAATACTTCGATGCGAAAAAGGAGAACCTTTTGTCCTAAAAAAAAAAAACTTGTTAAAAACAACGATTCAGTTTTCTTTCTTTCGCTTATCCGTTTTGCAAATCAGTTACATGACTATTCAAAAAACATAGCTGGTAGGAAGCTGTACTGATGAATTCCTTTTCCACCTGCGTGCACAGTTTGGTCTGCGTTTACAGTTGAGACACAGACTGCTTCATAAAATGTTTTCATACGCATTACATTGAAGTCTAATCCCTCTATCCCTCTATTTCAATATAGCAGTGCTGTTTTGCGCTACTTTTGCTGTGATACGATGTTGAGGTTCTGATTCCCTTTGTCCTCCCTTACCACCTGAAAACAATTCCCCTTAGGATTTATGCAGATCAGAGCAGCACTGGTCTATCTGAAATACGAGGGAAGGAAGAAAAAAACGAAGGGACGGAGCGGGTGAGGGGCCAGGTGAGAGGGGAAGGGAAACAGAAGAGGGGACGGAGAAACGGAGAAACAGCCGCATTCCATGTGAACTTCAATTACCAGACCTTGCGATTTCCGTATAAAAAAAGTACAACATTTACAAAAGTGCTACAGCTGTGCCCATTGGCAACCTTTCCCAGGTTTTTTTTTTTTTTT